CCCGGCACCATTCCTGAGTCCTTGCCCCGCGGGGGGCCCGGCCCGGCCCCCACTCCCGCGGCCGGGCGGGCGGCGGCGCCCATAGAAAAGAGTCCAGGTCTCACAGAGACATTACGGTCCCGCCCCGGGGCCGGCCAGGCCACACCGCCCCTCACAGCTCATCCCGCGGGGCCACCTCCTCAGCCTCGGCCTCAGGCTCCTCCTCGTCGTCCTCCTCCTCCTCATCCCCGTCCCCCTCCTCATCCCCCTCCTCCTCCTTCTGCTGCTTCTCCTCCTCCTCCTGCTTCTTCCGCTGCTCCTCATCCTGCTGCTCCTTCATCTTCCTCTCTGCCTCCTGCGGGACACAGCAGAGGTCACTGGGGGTCAGCGGGGGGGGTCCCAGGGTGCAACCCCATCCTCTCCCCTACCTTGGTAGCCCCCCAGGTCTCATTCCCGATCTCCTCTGCCAGCTTCTCGTCATCCGTGATGAGCAAGTTATCAAAGATGGTGCCAGACTTCACCTGTGGGGGATGGCAGGGTCAGGGGGGAGCACACAGGACCCAGCAGGGGGGTCTCCACCACACCACCCACCTGCCAGAGGTCAAGGCCGATGACCCCAAAGCTGTCATAGGCGTAGAGGTGGGGGTCAGGGCTGTACTCAGGGTTGTCGATCTCAGGGTGCACCCACTTCCCCTTGTAGTCAGGATTGTCAATCTGCTGGGGCCTCCACTCGCCCTGGGACACACACACACACACACACACCAGGATGGGTCAGGCAGGCATCAGGAGGCACAGCGCATGCCCTGGAGACCCCCCCAGACCCCAGCCTCACCTTGTACTCAGGGTTCTGGATGACAGGGGGCTCCCACTCCCCATCCATCTCCTCATCCCAGTCCTCTGGCTTCTTGGCATCAGGGTCAGGGATATGCTCTGGCTTGTCCCAGTCCTGGGGGGGCCGAGCAGGGTCAGGGTACTGCCATGCCCCCTGCCCCAAGCCCCCTCCCCCCACCCCCAGAGCCCTCCCCCCACCTCAGGCTTGGTGTCCTCGGGGTCATCAATCTTGGCCCGCTCATCCCAGTCATCAGGTTTCCGGGCCTCAGGGTCCTTGATCTTCCTGGGGGGCAGGAAGTCCCAGTCCTCCTCCAGGCTGCCTGATTCCACCCGCCCATTGTCGATTTTCACCTCATAGGTGTTGTCAGGCCGGACCACCAGCGTGTAGAGGTGGGTGAACTCATCATCCTGCAGGGACGGGCAGCTCAGCAGGGTCCAGGACATCCCCCCCACCCGGGGCAGGGCCCAGCCCCTCACACACACCCCCCACCTTGCAGCGGATGTCCTTGTTGATCAGGACATTCTTCCCCTTGTAGTTGAAGATGACATGGACCTTCTTGGTGCCAGGGCCGCAGATATCGGGGCCTGGGGAGGATAGGGGGGTGAGGGGGGCCCCCTGCACACTGCCACAGGGGGCCATGGCGGGGCGGGGGGGGCAGGGACCCACCAAACATGATGTTGTACTCCGAGTCACCATGCATGTCCTCCTGGTTCAGGCTGGCCGGGAAGAGCTTGACATAGCCACCACCACAGTCGATGTTCTGCTCATGCTTCACTGTGAACTGCACCACCAGTGTCTTGTCCCGGTTGCTGAAGGGCTCAAAGCGGGAGGAGATGGCGTAGAACCGGGCATCCTGGCTTGTCTGGATCCCTGTGGGATATGGGTGTGTTGGGGCAAGGGAACACCCAGTCCCAGGGGTCCCCACCCAGCACAGCCCAGCTGTCCCCCTCACCTTTGTCCTTCTCAGCATCACCGTAAAACTTCCCAGCAGTGAGGACGAACCGGCCATAGTCAGGCTTGTGCTTCGATTCCACCCACCGGCGGGTCCAGGCATCTGCAGGAAAGGAGTACTCAGGACCCCAAGCCCCGTCCCCACAGCTGGGGAATCTGTTCTGCACCTGCCCCCCCCCCCCCCCCCAATGCAGAGCCAGAAGCAGGGCAGGTCCCAGCTGGGCCCATCACACTCCAGAGGAGCCCATCAAGAAGGGCTGCCCACCTGCACCCACAGCCAGAGCTGGGGATCCCCACATTGCTCCTCTTCCCAGTGCTGGGTGCCCCAGAGGGAGCTCAAGTCTTGGGGTGTCTTTTGGTGTGGGGCTGCAGAAGGATTTGGGATACTAGGGAAGGACAAACCCCCAGCACAAGCCACCTCTTCCCTGGCCTCCCCACATGGGAAACAGCCAAATGTCATCCTCCAGTGAGGAGCCCCTACCCCTTAGGGGGCCCCCACTCCTGGCAGCCCCCATCCACTGCCTCTCTGGCCTCCCAAGCTGGGGGGGCCTCTCAGCCCCCTGTATCCTCCCAGGGCCTCATTCCCCAGGCCAGGGCAGACCTCTACACAAAGTTCTCCCCAGGAACCCCCATTCAAGTGGGCCCTGATCCCTTCCTCTGTCTTTCTGCTGACCCCCACCCCTCTCCTAGATATCTCAGCTCCCCTTATCTCTCCCAGCTCTACCCGAGGACTGACCCAGAGCCCTCAGCAACACCCCCCAATGACCCCTACCCTTCTCAGACCCAGTCCTTCATCTGCCATATAACCCCCATCCTCCCCAGCACAGGTGAGACCCCCTAACCCCCCCCTTCCTGTACTCCCCCCATAACCAGGACACCTGCTACCATAGGCCCTGCCCTGCAGCTCAGGGGAGGCCTCCTGGCTCCCCCATGTCCTCCCTCACCTCAGGGAACTCCCTGGGTCATCACAGCCACCTCCCTCACCTCAGGGAAGTCCCTCTCAAGTCTCTATACCTCAGGAGACCCTCCCCCAGCCTCCCCCCATCTCAAGAACCTGCCCTAGGTCCCCTTCACTTCAGGGGACCCCACGGATCCCTACAGGCCCCACCCTCACCTCAACCCTCTCCCGCCTAAGGCACCCCCGGCCCGAACCCCCCCCTCACCTCCGTCACCGAACTCCTCCCGGAAGAACTGGGTGGGCCCAGCCGCCGCCAGCGCCAGGAGGGCGCCGAGCGCGACAGGGAGGCTGAGGCGGCTCATGGCGGCGGTCCCACACGGCACGGCCCGGTCGCTCACTCCCTCCCGGCCCGGCGGCGCCCGGCACTGCGGAGGGGAGTGGCGGCGGGGCCGCTTTTTATACGCCCGCCGCCC